ATCAGAGAAAAAATACAAGCTGTCCTGGAGATGCCTTTTTTTTTCCAGAGAGGGAGATGAAGAAACACAGAGACAACTTTAAATCTCTGGTCACTATATCTGTGGCAACTCAACTTTATTCTAACTGTAAGTAATGTAAATAAACCAGGTATGAACATTTAGTCTTGCCAATAGCAGTAAAGCACTGATCAGCATCAAACGTAAGTCTATCTTTGATTAATATTAGCTCTATTTCTTATGACACAGATGATTTATTGAGTCCACATTTGAACTGAATCACATACACTGTATGTTTGTTTGATTGAATTTATATTCTGCCACTATGAAGCTTGACTCGATGCATTATATGTCATTCAGTTACTGAGAATAAAATTATGTGAAAAATGACTTTACCATGGAACTGCAATGGGCTGCATTTAAAAAAGATGCAATAAATGTTTTCCCATATACAAACATTTGTTGTCATATGGAAAAATAGAATTCAGTGTATAGTTTAGATTGTATAAGAATAATGCTGGGTGCCACTTCTGCTTAATTTACTGTATCAGATCACAGAGATGCCTAATGTTTTTGTTTCAGAAAAAAATTTTGTTTCATAAACTGGAGCCAGTTTTCCATAGCTGTGGTGTCAGTGGGGGTACCTGCTTTACCTGTCCTTGCAAAGTGTTATTTTTGTAATGTTTTAATTTTACAATCAAATCTATCTCTGTTTTTACTCATTTTACTTTAAGCACTTTTTTTGTTGAATTGTATTCAATAAATATATCTAAACATAAGACACAGTTTGACTTCCTTTATATGATATGTATCAGTAAGAATTAAGGTAAAAATCACTTTTTGTAACTCAGATTTTTACACTAATAAAAATAATTCTTCCATCTCTTGTAAAATGTAGCTTGTTTATATAGGCAAACAAAGTAAGATTGAGATTTTTGGGTATTAAGAGGAGGATTTGCTGCTCCTGGCAGCATGGGCTGTATCCTGCTATATTCTCATTCACTTTCATTTTCATTTAATTACAAAGATGAAGATTGTACAAATAAGCTTTAAACTCATACTAGGGATAATCAAGAAAAACATTCCTACTTTAGCAGATGAAAGTGAAATCTGCCTTGAAGAGTAAAACTCTGTACATACATCATTCTGCACAGGAAAGTTCTAACAGTCAAGTGGAGGAACAATAAGAAGGGCACCTTCGGAACGGAAATGCAAGGACAACTTTGTGCCTATAGAGATCTCAATTTTAACCAGAAGGGGGCTCCAGAGACTGCATCAGCTTGAACACTGGTCCCCAAGTGCAAGATTTCCTGGCAAAGACCCCCTTTACACTTACGCTTTTGAGACTATGAA